AAAATGTTTTTAAATACTTTGACTTAATAAATTGTTCTTATAAAACTCACTGAAAATTTTTAGGAATCTAGAAGTCTCTCAAAAATAACTTGAAAATGGTCCAGGGAGATGGCTCAGTGGAATAAGTGCTTCCCTGGCAAGCACAAGGACCTGAGTTCAATTCCCGTTTCTGGGGAAAAAAAAAGAATGTGGTCTGTAGTTGCATCCATTTACCAAAAATAACTTGAAAATATCTACTTCTGAAGCATTTCTACAGGCCATTGGAATGACTGAAATTGTGACTTAGAAGAGTACGTTAGGCCAGGAGTGGTGGTCCATACCTGTAACCCCAGCACTTGGGAGGCTGAGGCAGGATGATAACTGTAAATATGAGGCCAGCCTGGGGTACAAAGGGAGTTCAAGGCAGCATGAACTGCACAGGGAGACTGTCTCATTTTTTTTTAAATGCATTTCAATCTTCTAAAAGTAATCAAAAGAACAAAGACATTCTTAATTATTTATAAAAAAAATTAAAAGGACAAGATTTCTCTTTAAAAATTCAGGGAGATAGCTAGGCAGTCTCAGCACCTGCCTGGCAAGTGCAAGGATAGGGTTTAGATCTCCAGTACCATATGCTGTGTTGCCCCCCCCCCACTAAGCTGACCACTGAAACCAGGTATGGTGGTGCACACCTGTAATCCCAGAACTGGGGAGACAGAGATAAGAAGATCACTATGAGTCTGAGCTCTGTAGTGAGACCTGTACCAAATAAATAAATAAATAAATTAATAAATACATAAATAGATAAATAAATAAATAAAACTTTTAAAGATTTTTCTTAATGTAAGTTAGTCATAGGGCCAGCCAAATAGTTCAGTGGATTAAAGCGGCTGCAAGCAGGCTCAGGGACAGGGGCCTCAATCCCTAGGCCTGCTGTGCTGGCCCCACTCCTGGGGTGCACTGAGAAGGCAATTGAGAGTGGGAGTGGTTTTGTGCACCTGGAATCCCAGCTCTTGGGAGACTGTAAACAGGTGGATCATTACAAGTCTGATCTAGTAGACCCTGAATACCCTGTGTACCCTTCCCTAAAATAGAAAATAAGTAAGTAAATGTAAGTTAGTCATTATGCATTACTGAAATTATCTTTTATTCCTTAAAAATATGATACTGATGACATTTTCTTCTATGATTCATTTAGCTGGCAATTACAAGACTCAAATCATTCATTATAAAAAGCTGAGATAATGAAAGCATGCAAATTCTCTCGCTCCCATTAAAGATAATTTCTTCATCAAAAGATGTTAATTTTCCCTATCGATGACCTGGTAGGAGAAGAAGTGACTGACAGTCAAAATCTAATCCTAAAATCTCTGGTCAATGTCTAATGAGTTTGAGAAATCAGAAAGTCAATTTCTGTAAAGACAAAATACAAGTAAAGGGCTTCAGGGTAAAGGACTCTAGCGGTTTCTCCCCCTTCCTCAAATTAAAAAACCATACTGGGTTCTTCTCTGGGAAGTGGTCAGTAACAACTTCCAGTATGCCTCCTTTGTAGGCTCCCAAAAACAATTTGTGAGTAACTTACTTCTTCATTTTCAGGGACTTGAATGATTTATCACTTTGTATGAGAGTCAAACAATTGACTCATCGGTCTGAGTCTGAAAATTCTAGAGAGATTAAATTCTGAAGCTCTTTCTGAATTCCTAAAGGGATATCTTTAAACCTATAGTCTCAATTTTAAAATGTAGAGTGCTTTAAAAAGAAAGTAACTGATGCATGCACATGTTTCAAATTAGTAATTCAGGGTTCATGCCTCCTGAGGATTCTTAATCAAGAAACATTAATTGAAACACCATCATTTGAATTAAGCTATTTTTAACTCCCTTTCCTCACTGTCCACAGTGCTGGCTGTTGCACTCAATGGCTGAAGTTCTCCACCCTCTTCTCCCTGCCTGACCAACTGCTCTGCTGTCTGTGCTTGAAGTGTTGCAGGAAGATTTTATAGAGGAATGTGTAAGGTTTTATGCTGGGTGTATAATGGGGAAGAGTACAAGAAATCCTTTGAGAAACAGCAGAAATTCCAGTACAGAACTTCATTTATAAATGGCTGAGAAGTTACCAAGAAAACAAAAACAAAAACTGTTTAAGAGCCGGGGAGATAGCTCGGTTAAAAAAAAACACGAGAGAAATATTGTCTGGCCAGCCAGATCTGTGTAGTGAGACCCTGTAGACCCTGTACTAAATACTTAAAAAAAAAAAAAAAAAAAAAAAACACTGTTTGATACAACAAATGGCCCCAGGGCCAACTGCTGGATCCCCTTATTTTCTGGTCCTGAGAAATCCAATTCAGTCCAAGGACATGGTTGATTTTCCCAAAGTAATACAACTAGTAAGAACCAAACCCAGATGCAGTTTGAGTTTCTAATCTCCAAAATCTCTTGCTGTTTCTTCTCTTCCTTTTTACTCCATATATAAATCCGTCCTTGGATTAAATTTTTGAATACATTTTGTCATCATAGCTGAACACTATATTTTCAATAAAAATAATGGAAAGCAACTTGATAGTCTAAATCTTGGTAAATTACATAGAAAATTCTACTCATGTTGAAGAAGGAAAAAACTCATTAAAAGATTCATTGTCTTTTGTGTAGGGGAGGAAAAAGGAAACTTTCTCTATGTGTTGTGAAGATTTATCTCTTCGTGCAAGAGCAACTACAGGGTGATTCTGTGCTCTGTGCTTTGTGGGCAGAACTCAACGATTGGAGCTCAAAAGGAGCTCTGTGTTTGCTCCTTTTCTGTAACAATCTCCATCTTGGCTCCTTGTTTACTAGTTGTGTCATGAATTGGCTTCTCTCACCCTAGCCTTCCCACTGTCAGTTCCTTGAGGGTAAAAGGTGAATCCTTACTTACGCCCTATGTGCAAGGATCTCTGCTATGGAGCTTCTTGCCTAGCAAGTAGTTGGTAAATGTGCACGGAGTTGGACTCACCTGAATGATATTATAAGTCACCATTTCATTGTTGTTTACTAGAAATAGAAAGCATAAAGAAAAGAGTTACAAAACAACAGGAGAGAAAAGAATCCAGAAAGGAGAAGAGAAGACAATTTACTGAAGAGAAGTTAGTAAGGAAAAAGAAAAAAAGAAAAAGTCAAACAGGAAAATGAGAGGTTACTAGCACCAAAGGCATACTTACTTCTCTGTGGGAGCCCATCTAATGTTTCTTGCCCTTTTTTAAAAAATACTGAAAGATGAGAAGCTCATAAAACTAACTAAAAAAAGCAACATCCAACTTTCTTTTTAATATATTTTATAAATCTGACACTTCATTTGAAGAATGAAAGGGCTGAGTCAAAGTTAAATTAATTTCACTCTACACTAAACCATTTACAATAAACTATTAAAACCACAATATTTAAATTTTTATAATGTCTCCCTACTTTAAACATCTATCCACTAGATTTATATTTTCCCTTTACTGCTTTATCCACATTCTTGTCTGATGATACCTCATTTGGAACATGATTCTCCTGGGATTGGGTAGGAGTATTTGACAAATTACATCTAAAGGTCTCCAGAGAGATCCTCTAGTTCTTTAGCAGGCTGATTTTAGGCACCTTGACAAAGAAATGTCTGGAAACAGGATGAATTAGCACACACAACCTTCCTCAGTTTGAGAGCTAGTGCTTACTGTGTTCTGTAGGCCACAGAGAAATCAAACCTATGTGGTGTCCACCTGATAGAGAACAGAACAGAGGCTGGGGCTGGGGGGACAATCATGCAACGCTGAGGCCCTCCAAAACGGAAACGATGGGCTGAAAATCAGCTGTATGAAGGTTTGGAATTTTCTAATCTATCTGAGTTTATCTAAAAGAATTTAGTGATATGTTTTGATTGTAGTGATGAATACATTATAAAGTTAATATAAGCCAATCATCTAACTTGCCTAGTTTCTAAGAAATCGAGAGAGTCTATGCAGAAAAATTACTTATTGCCATTCACTAAAAAAATGATTGTCACAATCACCTCCACAGCTACATTTCTTACTATTAATCTTAAGGCATACTGTTGTTTAAAGTTCTAAAACACATAATTTTTTTCCTTATAAGGCACTGTAAGTTTCAGACTTCCACCAACCACACTGGTACGTCTGTGAGTCACCAATTCTCAGACAACTCTTCAATGATGAATAAATCAGGGTGCCAGAAAACTGCAGCTGCTATTCTTGTTAACAACAATGAACATTCTCAGTTAATGCTAAATATTCACATATCTACTGATCCGTGATAGGTCAAGGATCTTGGCCTTCGCCTCTCAGACTTTAATAAACATAAGAATTACTAGGGTTGCTCGTTGAAAAATACAGATTTGCTTATCATTCTAATTTACCAGGCCTGGGATTTGGCATTTAAAATAAAACGAATCATATGACAAAGCACTTTTGGACAATCAGAGGTGATGCTGACTTGAGGAGCTGAGAATATTTTTAACCACCAGCCTGCTGAGAACCAAAATTCCTGCCTGTGAGGATAATGAATTTAAAGATTGAGTTGTAAGCCTTTGATCTTTGAATCTCAAATAAGTTTTGTTAATGAAGGGAAGATAGAGAAGAGACAGCAGTCAAGCCCCCTCTTCAGCACACCCAGCATCCAACACTGTAAAATGTTAGTACCACCCTCTGTTGTATACCACATTAACATACAGGCTGCCCACAGAGAAGAAATTGGGATCATACAGATTTAGGGTTAAGAGGCACTAGGGATCAGATTTAAGGCCATGCTAGTAAAATCCAGAACATTGTGGCTGTGGCTCAGGAGCTTGGATTTAAAAACTATTCAAAACCAAACAGAATGTAATCAGCCAAAGCCTGTGCCAGGAGGGAAGACTCTTGAGCAAGTGCTGAGGCAGTGATGGGAGAGAGGAAGAGAGGGATTGGCTCAGCAGCTGTGTCAGTTGGACATTCCATTCAACTGCCCCTAGCAAGCATTCTTGCCCACTGAGCGCCCACTTGGTGTGACTGACTTTTACCAAATAGAACTATCAACAAAATCACCTAAAGGCTTTACCAACATCAGGCCAAGAAGGTGACCATTGAAAACCGCTCCCAAATTTCTAATCAATGGACCCAATTTTAGGGAGAGAAACTCTGTTGGTCTCCAACAATGGTTTAAGTCCTAGTCTTTAATTTCTTCCTTCTCAGACACTCTGGTCTCCACCAAAAGGACAATACTTGATGAGATGCAGCCATTTTGTCGGTCAGCAGGAGCTCAGAAGCCAGAAACTGTCATGGTGGTAGAAGACAGCATTGTTCTCCTCAGCAGCAGACCATCCCTGAAAAGCTCCCAGATCACTGTGACAATCAAGTGAAGGAGGGGCTTTTCTTTAGGGAAACTTATGTGAACACTGTATGAGACACTGGACAGACTGCTTTGAATTTCTTTCCTTTTAGCCTTTTTCTTTTTGATACTTAATTGCTACATCTCAAAAGCCTAAAATAGCCAAGACAACTCACAGCATGGAGGGATCTGTAGGTAAGTGTCACTGGATCTTGAAGAACAAGGGCTCTCTAGTGTTTTCTGGCCTAAGTAACTGTAGGTGTACGTCAGGTATGGGGGTTGGTGAGTCATTAATTTCTCCAACTGTAGAATTCAAAGATTTTATGGAATATTTTGCTGAAGAAAGATTATTTCCCTCAACTCTCCTTTATTTCAAAATACTAAAATCCTCTTCATTGCGAAAGATAAATGATAGACTGAAAAAGCCTGAAACCTGACTGTGTCTTCTTGCTTTAATATTTCAGAATCTACCTGATGAGAAAGTGGCTAGTTGTCTGAGAAAATGAGATTTTATTATTTTTAAACATTAGAAAAATCCATTCAAAGTGTTTTCTCTGATTTTCAAGTATGGCTGCCTTTCTGCTTGCCAAAAATATGGTATTAATAGGATGTAGGGATGGATTTGGAGATTCATGGGAAATATTTACCTCCAAAAGCTTCCTTCTAACAACCTCCTAAGTGGCTTGAAATTGCTCAGTTCTTCTGACTCCTTTTTTTTTTAAAGTTTTTCTAGTTTCTAATTCAAAAACATATATTCTTAGAAAGTACAAGTCAAAATAGTTAAGACTTTCTTAGGAATAAGCATGGTCTCATAAGCATAGAACCAAGAAGAAAGATCTGACAGGCCCAGAAAAATAGAAAGGAACAGGGTGTGGGGAAAAAGACCAAGTAGCTGTTGATAGAAGAAGAGTGGAAGATAAAGAGCTGTGGTTCGCCACCCTTTTCTGATGCTCACATTATCTTTGTTTACACTGGTTAGACTCCGGCTGTTTTGGCAAAGTATTCTTGCATGTCTGGCCTTGCAAAAGCTGAGGTGGGTTGTAGCATGCTAATTAAGAGAATGAGAAGTAGTTCACAAGCTTGCTGCTTGTCTGAGAGTGATCGTCTCCATCCAGTGGCCCGGCCACCAGCAGGAAGGCTGTCTTTCAGCACAGGTGGAATAAATGCCCGGGAAGGCTGTGTCAGAGGGTTGAGCAGATAGGCAATGTTTCCAAAGTACTTGAAGGCTCAAAAGAAGCTTTCTAGAAAGAAAAAATAATCAAGGAAACTGCTATTTTAAAAGAAGGTCAAAGAGCTATGTTTGAATTTTAAATTCAGTGAAATAGAAGTGGTTAATGTTTTCTTCAGGATGGAAAGAAACCAAATAATTTATCCCTACGATCCTGACTAATGAAGTTCTATTAAAACAAGAAAAGAGTAAGGGATTAGCCAGGTGTGATGGGGCAAACCTGTAGCACCAGCATTTGGGAGGCTGGGGCAGGAGGATCACCTGGAGTTTAAGTCCAGCCTGGGCACATAATGAAACTCTGTTGAAAGAGAAGAAAGAGAGAGAGAGAGAGAGAGAGAGAGAGAGAGAGAGAGAGAGAGAGAGGAGAGAGAGGAGAGAGAAAAGAGAAAGAATGAAACAAAGAAAGAAAGAAAAAGAAAGAAAGAAAGAAAGAAAGAAAGAAAGAAAGAAAGAAAGAAAGAAAGAGAGAGATATATAAAGATAGAAGAGGAAGGGAAGGAAGGAAAGAGAAAGAATAAAGGATTCATTCACAGACTCCTATAGCCAACTCTCACTAGGGAGGACATATGTAAGGCGATGCTCACTTAAATGGAGGGATACATAGAAATCTACCATTGCTAATCTTCTCTTATACACTGAATTCAGGCCTTACAACAGCTACTGAGCATCTGCTTGTTTCAAGCATATCAGAGATATGAAATGTGAATAATACATAATTCTTGCCTCCAGACAGCAAGTGGTCAAGGAGAGAGAGGATCAGGACTGGGGCCAGAGAGCATGGGAACTAACCATTACCACTTGAAAGTAAACTCCAGGAGGGCATTTTTGATGGATATTTTAATTGTTCTCTTTCCATAAATTTTAGAAATGTTTGGAGATATTAACCTCACTCTTGGGATGCTGAATAAAGAAGATGTCATCAGTAAGGTAGGGCAAATATGGAAAACTATTATTGCCATTCTGTTTTTCTAGTTCAGTGAGTGCAACATTTCATACCTTCTGGTTTGCCTCAAACTTCTGCTATGTCTCCTGCTTCCTACACTGCATGAGGTTTTTCTTTTCTGTATTGTAAAATGTAATGGAAGTGATGATGGTGCTGAAACAATTTTGGTTTCATCAGCTGTGCAGCCGTCTGGGTCAGAGTCTCCTTTATAATGTGAGGGCACCTATGAAAATTCCTAAGTATCTCCTATATTCATCCATAATACTATTTCACTAAAACTATTTCTTTCATTTTTTGTTTTTGGTGGAGCTGGGGATTGAACTCCAGCTCTTGTGCTTGCCAGGCAAGTGCTTATTCTACTGAGCCATCTCCCTGGCCCCAAAAATATTTCTCTGAGTAAAAGTTTTTCAGACTTCAGCAACAAAACCAGTATCTTTCATCAAATGCTTATCTAGGAAAGGGAGTGCTGAATGTTTGCACATAATGGAGCATAATATAATACTCTTTCCTCCCAACAACTTGATGAGGGAGGCATTGCTATCTCCATTTGACAGCTGAAAATGAAGCACAGAGAAGTTATAGGACTTGCCCAAACAAGAGCAGCAGGACTAAGTCCTAACACAAGAATGCTGTGCATGACCATTCACTGATGCTCCTTCTGAAAAGTGGAGATTTTACTTTATCTCTTAATTCCCTGGTTCTCAGCCCTGACCTGTTTTTACAATCCCTGAGAGATGTTGTGGGAAACACCAACTGCCAGGCCCGAGGAACAGGGTTTCTGGTTGATCAGTCTGTGGTAAGCCTGGTCACTGATAGCTCACAGAAATGATCCTCATGTTTAGATACAGTTGACAGCTATTATATTAATCTACTAGCAGGAATTAACTTTCTCATACAGCATTATTTCTTAAACATTGGGAAGTACTTGGGGAATGACCTCTGGGCTCCAGAAGTGCTGAAGAAAAATGGCTAAAGAGTGAATAAATCATATTTATTTCAAACACACACTTGCATGTTATTTTTGTAAGGAGTCAAGTTAAGTAACATAGATAGCCAGAATAATGAAGAGGTCAAGATACCAGCTGATTGAGGACATATGAGAACTTGTACTGTAACGTCATGTAATTTGGTAGTGTCCCAAATTTTCTGACCAAGGAGATTATGGGGCCAAAGAGGAAAGTGATCGATGATGTAGAGTGTGCCTAAGGAGAGTCACATGGAGAGAAAACTTTCTCTCAGGCTTTCACAGAGAGCACAATGGCCAAGCAATGGCCGTGACTCATCCACATGGCTGACACTGACAAACGTTCTACAATCTGAGGTACAGGATCTCAGGATAAACCTGAGGGAATTTGACTGACCTTATCAGACCCAAAAGCTACAACTTTTGTTGCATAGGTCCTACTTTACTTTGGTCTTAACCATCCAGCAGAAAAGTATAAAAACTAAGTATAAGAAGTAAAGCCATGCTGTTATGTTGAGCTGTGAGGAACTCAGTTCAACAATTTCTGACATTGCCAGTCAAGCGGAACACCCAATACTATTATGGACTAGTGGACTCTTTCAGAATATTTTGGTGAGTTAACACACCTATAATATTCAAATAATGGAACTTAACAAAAAAAGGGGATACAGATGAATGTCCATTTTGTATCTGTGTATTCAAAATGGTTAGGATAGGGGCCTGCCCCTTAGCTCAGTTGTTTAAGTGGCTGCTTCAACAAAGCAGTCAGCCTCAGGTGGCTGTGGTTCGATCCCCACACCTCCAGCCAGCCAAACATGCACTGAAGGCATTCTGAGCCAGCCAAAAAAAAAAATCCTTCTGCCAAAATGGTTAGGATAGATATATAGTTGCATTCTTAATGAACGCAGGGATTTGTTCTAATAGTGTTTGTAAATAGGATATCATGTCCGCCTCTTGTACAGCAATTAACCACTAGGAAGAATTATGCAATGTGTTAATTATTGAAACTGTCCTACCAATTTGGTTTGAAACTGTCTCATCACTATTTGTTTCTCAATAAAATTATGGAAAAAAAAAGATACCAGCTGAGATACAAACCATCAGGTTCAAAGTCAGTATCACCACCTCATAGCACACTAAGCGCTCTGTGACTCAGCCTCTTCATCTATAAAAGATGGATATTAGTGTTACCTAATGCACAGGCTTCTTGTAGCACCAATAAGACATTTCAGGTACAGGGCCTGGCTCAGTTCCAGGAATCTGGTACAGGGCTCCTAAGTGTCAGCCTTCCTGAGAAAATGGGCCTAGAAGGTAGAAAAAAGATAAGGACTAAGAGAAAAATTTAGGGTCAATTAGGCAAGCTCTATAAGAAAGAGAGCAATGGCAAACTATTTCTTAGCTTCATATTTTCCAAGGGCCAAGGAGTAGTGGAAACAAAGCTAGCTTGTGCTTGAAGCACGAGTACCACGCCCAGAGGTACACGTGTGAGCTGCAGAGATTTCAGCGCACTGGCATCTCTTTCATCTCGCAGAGGTCGTGTAACCCCTCATCTAGAGGAACATGCTCATGGGGTCTTGTGAAGCCACGTGATTCCTAGAGCTTCTTCTCTGTCAAAACATAATTCACAACTATCTCTCAGCAAAGCATGAATGAAGAAAGGGCCCACAGCTCTCCCTGCATCACGTTTCACAAGTCACAGCCTTTGGGGAATAGTGTGCTCCCTACGCCATCCTCATTCCCTGGCCGCAGGAGAAGCAGTGAGGGTGACACACATTTCCATCCTCCCAACAGCCTCGTCCAGTGACTTCCAAATGACCTTGATGCGTTGGTAGCCTGTCCCTGCCCTCCATTAGATCTTGCCATAGATTCAACAAGTTAGAATAGTTACGAGTGTTAACTTTTCTCTACACATACAGTTTTGACACTTAAAATGTATATCATATTCAGGCAACTTGAATTAAGTTAACTGTGTTGTATAGCATGTGTTATTTGCTTGGGCTTTCCTCAATTTCTTTATCTTCACAACCCAAAAACCTGTGTCTATCTTGTACGTTCACAGGAAGATGTTTACAGTCATCTGACCTCAGTTATTCAGAATACTGACATTTTGGATGATGCAATTGTCCAAAGGCTTATTTATTACACCTCTAAGGATATGAGAGATGAAAATGTAAGTCTGGTTTTTGGTGGTGAGTCAGCACAGACCCAGCACCAGGGTCTGTGTGCCCTACCTACAGATGCGGCTGTGTCAAAGATTTTCTGCCAAAAAATCAAGGACTTGCTGGGTTTTGCGGAAGCTCCAATATAATTACAATGCCTGCTGTTCACCCCTTCTCAGATAAGAAAACTGAGGCAAACCTGAGAAAGACTGTCAAGTACCATCATCCTCCCTCCCTTTAGATAAGGATGTTTATTCACAGATGTCTTTTAAAATAACAGAGCTACCTGTCGACAGAGCAAGTAATTAGAACCCAGTTTTCTTGGCTCGCAGGGTTTCTTCTCTCGTTATCTTGTACTGTCTGATCTTTTCCAAATCTTAATGCAGTAATTCATTCCACTCTACAGTGGGAGCCCTTTGATGTTTTTACAAGTGCATGTTTTTAGTATTTTTTTTTTTAAATTGGCCTTTTTATTCTCCTCAGCAGCAAAGATGTTCAAATTTACCAAGCTTGTCATCACCAAAGCAGAAGTCTCTCCCAATAGTGCTAATACCACAAGCAGTATAACCAAAGTAACATCGAATCAAACTCTCAGCCCCTGGCCCATCTCCTTTAATCTACTGCCCCAACATTTCACCCACGTGAATTCTGATCTCATCAACACAAACTGTAAATCACATATGTGTGGTGCAAGCCTGATTAGCAAGGAAATATTTACTGACCCCAAAATTACAAAAACTCTATTAAAACTCCATCTAAACCATATTCAAGTTGCCTCTGCTTTTCTAGCTACTGATAGGTACCTGAGAATCTTTTGCATGGATTTTTAACAACCCTGTTTTTCCTCTATTCCAAATCCAGAGGAATTTACGATATTGTGTAGACTGTTTCCTCTCTATTGACCCACTCTGCTCTTCCTCTAATGCTTTATATTTTTCTTTCTTTCTCAGATTCCCCAAGAACTCAGAATGCTAGCTGGTGAGGTTTTTGTGTCTCTGGCTGCTCATGATTTTAATTCTGTGATGTATGAAGTGCAGAGTCATTTCAGAATCCTAGAGCTACCAAATGAATTCGTTGTGCTCGCCCTGGCTGAACTGGCAACAAGTTATGGTATAAAGGAAACACTCTTCCTGTTCCCCTGGGAAACATCCACCCCTAATTGCCTAAAACCCAAATGAGAGCAAACAGCAGACAGGAAACTATCTTGTCTACTGCTGAACTAAAGAATATTAACAGGAGGATATAGACAACCATTTAGGAACCATTTCTGAACAAGGCGAGCCTGCTGCCCAGCCAGTAGTCCAGACTGCCCTGAATTCAGGCTCTCTGCCACCCTTACCTTCCTTGCATCTGGCTTTGCATTTGCAAAACTACATTTTCCATAAGGCATATTCTGCAAACTGCTGAATACTTACCTGAAGAAATGGTTTCCTCTAACTTGTTTCTACACTAGTGTATTATTGAGCCAGTGCTATCCTGCTGAGCCTTGAGCATAGGGCAAGCTTGGGTAAGAGAGGGTAGACCTAATGAACTAATTAAGCAAGGAAACAGTTGTCACTAAACAGGTACAGGTGGCTACATAGCCAGCCCCTTCTCTCAGACTAGCCATTCCTTGGCATTAAGGAGGGAGAGAGGAGATAGAAAATATCTTCTTACTGCACCTGACTTGAGTCCTCTATGGGACCATGGCATGCTTGTTGTAGGTACAAGGAGAAATCACAGAACTCCCAGGGGAAGAACCATAATTCCTTTGTCCTCCCTTCCCCTCCTTTTCCCTCTCCTCCTCCACTGCAGTGTCCCAGAGCATCCCCTTCATGATGATGACCCTGCTCACCATGCAAACCATGCTCAGGCTGGCCGAAGATGACAAGATGAGGCAAACATTCTGTATCGGTGGGTATCACCATGGGCCCTTCTTTGTTTAACAGGAGGCCAAGAACTGTCTTGAGGTTACTTACATTTTTCCCCTTTTATTTCAATGTTGTCTTTTCTGATATTAACAGCTTATTGTGTGCCTATCATACAGAAGTCATTTCGCAGGGGGCTACCTCACCTGCCCCCACAGTTCTGCAGGGTTACTACTGTCACATGCAAGCACAGGCTTACAGATGAGACATTAGGTTTCATGAAAACTCACCACTTTTTTTTCACAGTGGTGACGTTGTCAGTGGCACACTCAGGTGACATTCCAGCACAGGCCTACACAATGAGGACCGCCCAGCTTTGTCTTTCCACTGCCTTCCATGGCCTCCACCCCCACTGGCCACCTTCTTACATGAGATAGCACTTTCTCCTCAATGCTTGCAGATGTTTGTTAGCTCTTAGCAGTAAGTTCAATCCTGGTATCTCATCACAACACAATATATAATAAAGAAAAGGAAACAAAGCAACCAAAATACAAGCAAGCATGAAATCAAGAAAGCTAAGCAAGCACACTATGGTTACAAATCCCTTATACCCCAAATGGAATTTGCCTGAAGGAATCAAGAGTGTACAAAGAACCTGTGCTGAAATTCCAAGGAAAATACATGTGTGGCGCAGAGATAGCCTTCCCAAATGGGTCTATGAACCTAAGGTCATATTTCTGTGCCCCTAGTGACTTCTCCTAGTTGCCTTTAAAAATGTCAGAGATGATTATTAGGATCCCCTCCCACCTAGAAGTCTTTGCACTACTACTTCATTACATTTGAAAGCCTGTACTGCCAGAAATGTCTTCTCTACTTTCAACAATGCACCTTTTATTCTATTTTTCATATTTCTTCTTGTTCTGTCCTCAAGGTTAATTTTTTTTGTGTGTATTGAGAATTTGTTATATGTCCAGAGCATCCCTGAGTATTTAAGATTATTTTAATTAACCTTTGCAAGTGGGTAATATTTTCCCCTATGTTACAGATAAGCAATTTGGGACCTAGAAAGCTTAAACAATCTGTCAGACAACTAGAATACAGTAGAACTAAACAAGTCAACTGTGACAGTCTGGTTCAAGGACTTGAACAATTATACTGGGTTTCTTTTGTCTATGTCAGTGGTAGTGAGCCCCTGGCATGCATGTTGCAGGAGGCTGCTTGTGTCATTCTAAAACCTTTGTCATTACTCATCTATGTTTTACTCTTCCATATTTTTATAATCCCTGCTATCTTATCACAGGTAACACTGTGTTGTTGCAAGTAAGCTTGGGACCTCTCTTCAACTGTGTATAGCAGTGTCTCTTAATGTTTGAATTTGTATTTTAGTAACTTGGCTAAACACTTTGTAGATGTTTATTTGTTAGAGCCATAAGACTGTATAGTTGTATAAGAAGCAATGATACATTTGCTAATTGACTATTCTTTTTTCACATTAGTTTATGTTTACTCTCTATATATTTTTCTCAATCTCTGTATTTTTTTTAACTGCAGCCCTTGAGAAATTCAGCAAAGCCATTTACAAGTATGTCAACCACTGGAGAGATTTCCCCTATCCCAAATTGGATGCCAATCGACTTTCTGACAAAATCTTCATGCTATTCCGGTACATAATGGAGAAATGGGCCCCCACAGCCCCACCCAAGAATGTGAGTGTAGTGCCGGGATGCCCAGCTGGGCTGGTGACATCCTGCTTAGTCCATGTTTAACCTGCATCACATTCGTGTCCCTGTAAGAAACACTTAACACTTCACTACCTTCTCTCCCTCTTGTCCACATTAAGTCATTAAGGTATCTATGTTTATAAGCTGCTTAGAGTAGTTTAATTATTTGTCAGGAGCCTATTTGCTCCTTTTTGTGACATGACAGTCTATTCATTTCCTTTGGATGTTATTGGGTATTTTTGATGGTTTTCAAAATCCCCCATTTCTTCCGTCTACTTCAAATCACTGTTTATTCATTCTTTAGCATTTATTGAGGTCCCATGGCATGCTAATACTGCTCTGTATGCTGTGGATGTAGCAAGGAGTCAACAAACTAAAATCCCACTCTGGCAAAGCTGATATTAAAGTGTGTGAATAGAACAACAACAAAAAAAAAAAAAAAAAAAATATATATATATATATATATATATATATATATATATATGGATGTTCATAACTTCATGTATTAAATCCTAACCTATATTTGAGCTGAGCACTCAGCTTGGAAAAACAGGAAGTCACAGAATCTCTGGGGTTTATAAATATCACATTTAAACAGAATGACATTTAAAGAATGGACTAGGCTGTGTCACAAGCAGCAGCGCCTTGTAGAGGAGATCTTACAAAGTGCACTCACGTCGGTGGTGCCATCCTCTTCTTGCTTGCTTGCTACTTTTAAAGTAGCATAAATTGTATTATAGTTGTGGCACTATATGGGTATATACTACAAAGCATAACACTGACTTAGTTTTGTAATTCGCTTTCTTTTCTATACTTTAAGCTGTTAAGGTATTTTTTCATCATGGGGTAGTAAAGTTTAGCAAATTTAGAACTTTTAAAATATCCTGTAAGAGTTTTTCTTTTTCTTTTTTTTATTTTATTCTATTTTATTTTGAGTGATAAAAAATGAATGGGTTTCATTTTGGAAGACTTGTAATGCACATAACATATTTTACCGTTTTCATCTCTCACTTGCTCAGAACACTCCCCCTTGTCTGAGGTCTTTTCTTCAAAGCACAGAGAAAGGAAAATTCAACTCTGAGTTGAGGTTACTCACTTTGCTACCCACAGGAAAGGCTAGGCAAGCAAAAATGAAGGTGCACAAAGAGGTTAAGGTAAAACAAGGAGAAAAACTTGCACCTCACCCCAGGAGGGGTGGGGAGGCTGACACCTTGGACCTAAGCCTGCAGCCCGCTAGGCTTCTCACTACTAGGAAGGTGCATGTTCTAGAGAGAGGCCCAACTCCCCAGAAGCACAGGCAGGAGATGACAGCACACACACACTTGGGTGAGAAAAGTGGGAAAAGAAGAGAGGGAAGACATGAGGCAGACAGAAGGGAACCCTGAAAGATGATCTGGGCCACCTAGCAAAGGGACTTGAACTTTATACAGGAGTTGGGACTTCTTTTATGAAATCAGAAACAAACATGCTAGCTTTTAACAAGGCTTCAAGTATACTAGAAAAATCTTTGCAATGTCAACATCTAAAATGGGATTAGTATAGGAATCAGTTAAGGCATGACTCTTAGTTAGGAGGCTATAGAGATGAAGGTCTTAAATGGTAGAGAAATCCCTCAGTGTAGTGTCAGCGCCCTAGAATCGGAGTAGTCAGATGTGGAAGAATAGAATCAACAGCATCAGCATTCACTGGGAGGCATCTGAGATGATACCTAGACTTCCGATTTGAGCAGTGTTGGAGCCATTCATCCAGGCAAGCAAAACAGCAGGAATAGTAAATCTGTGCAAAATGGGTTTGAGGTAGCTATTTTGACCTGAATATCCATGATACACTTCAAATGGAAATAATAGTAGTCTGAAAATAATGAAGATTGGAGTTAAGAAGCAAAGCAGAAACTGGATTCATCAGTTTAAGTGTAATAACTATGTTAGTGCTACTGAATAAATCACTCTAGACGAGTTGTCAAGATGAGTATGTAAGTTGGGCATTGTGATGCATGCCTGTGTTGTTCCCAGCACTGGGGGGCTGAAGCAGGAGAATCACTGCAAGTTGAAGACCAGCCTGGGCTACAAAGTGAGCTCAAGGCCAGCCTGCGCTGCATAGCGAGAACCTGTCTCAAAAAACCAGGAAAAAAAAAAAACAAAAAAAAAAACAGGTGACTATGAAGAGTAGAATGCCCTAAAAATACAGTTCTATAAGAAAGCATTGAACTTATGGAGAAATGAGAAAATAACTAAAGGAAAAGACAAAGTAAGGTAAGATCTTAGAAACTAAGAAAGTAGATTTCAAGAAGCAAATAAAGATCTTCAGAGTCCACTGTTATTGGACTCAAGCAAAAAATCTTGCTAAGTGTCAATTACGCAGAAAAACATGATAGCAGAACTCTCTAATACATGACCTGACACATTATCTTGAGCAGAATATATTTTTGTTGGTATTAACAACTAAACTTTTACGTTAATATGTTCTACAGTAAAGTATAACCAATGCAAAAATAATCATTTGCTATTAGTTTAAAAAGTACAAAATCATATATTAAGAATGATGTCAGTTTTTAAAATAATAATATGCTATGTAAAGGTAAGAAAGATAAGTCAAATAAATAAAAAATGCATTACAACACACTAAACAGGGGCCAGCCAGATAACCCAGCCAATTAGTGTCTGCTTAGGCAGATGTAGGGACCAGTCTTCGATACCTGGCATTTCATGCTAGACCCACCCATGGGGGGCACTGAGATGATGATTGAGACTGGGCGTGCTGGCGTGCATCTCTAATCCCAGCCCGTGGGAGGCTGAAAACAGGAGGATGACTATGAGTCTGATCTGCTTCGTGAGACCCTGTAGAATTTCTATATAAATAAAATAAAATTTAAAAATACAATAAACAGTGATTATCCACAGGTCCTTGCGGGTTTAATGTTTTCTTCATTCTAATATTTGTGGTAGATAAATGTTTATAATCAGTAACATTGCACTTATATTGCAGGAGTTGTTCCTTTGCAGTTTCAGATGGAAGCTATGTTATAGTGAACTGAAGGTTTAGGGAGCTGAGAGGTGGGGGCAGAGCATGCGAACCACTTCTTCAAAAAAATTTACTCCAAGAAAAGGAAAGAAGCAGAATCTAGCAGGGATAACATGGCAATGGGGGCGGGAGGTCAAGGTGATATGGGACCAATAATGTTTTTAAATATGAGGAATGTTTGAATTCATTAAACTTTTGAAAGAAAATGACAACTACAGAGAGTGACAGAAATAGGAAAGGCAAGTATTGAAATACTGGTATAGATATATAGATATATGCCTCAAGCAATGATCTTGGCTCGAGCATTTAAAAAGCATTTTGCAGAATCTCCTCTTGCCTGAAAGCAGAGAGCAAAGTTTCTGAGGGGTCCCTAATCTCTTGGTATTCTGCAGAATGTTTCAAAAGAACAACAGAGAGTTAACAGCGATGTGCGCTGGCTTCCTCTACATACACTGGCCCTGGTGAAGGCCCACGGGCCCACCGTGAGCCTGCTCCTGCACCGGGAAGATTTCTGCGAATTTTCCCTGAACCAGGTACCCTGGCTCCTCAGCCAGTATGGCAACAAAGAGATTGATTTCCACATCACTCAGGTAAGAGCTACTCCCTACAGGAGTCTAATCAAAGCCTGGGTCTGTAGCCCTTTGAGGATAGAAATCTAGAAAAGGATTAAGAATGTTCATTCCAAGCTGTGGAGGATCTGAGCAGGACAGGGGTTGTACTCTTTGAAAACAACATATAATTTCAGGAAGAGTATGGGCTTGTTCTCAGACAATGTAATTGTTTCCCTTCTACTCCTCTGATGCTGCTTCGCTGCCCCCTCCACACACACACACCCCTGACCTCTGAGGGCTTCCGTTTCAGAGTGTAAAGCAGATACTGACTGCAGCAGTCCTTTATGATGTTGACCTTCCTAGGGCTTTGAAAAAATCCATCTTTATCAATTTACTCCACCAGGTAAGGAGATCATGCTATCAAATCTGATTGTGTGATGTTGCTAACCCACTTTCTGTTTTTAACATCCACCACCTGATTTTCTCCCCTCTGTTCAGATCTGCAGAGGTCCAGAGTCTCCTTTAGAAAGTGAAATTGAAGTTACAAGCTGTTTCCTCATTCTAGGTAGGACCCATCATCCAGAGGGTGTTGATAAAAATGTCTCCCAAGGGATGAAGACAGCAATGATAAAGGCTATCCAAACTTGATTTACTTTCACACAGACAGACAGACAGACAGACAGACAGACAGACACACACACACACACACACACACACACATATACACACACAAGCACACACACACAATATTTCCTCAGCCCACAATGTTCTGCACTGACCCTCTGCCCATAAGTTCCCAGGAAAAGCATAGGTAGGTCAAGGCTCATGCAGGGTGCCCAGGTCTGGGGGTGAAGAGCAGTTGTCCTGATACAATGTTCAGCTCTCAAACCGGAAACATAGCATAAGAACCAGGATGACTTGCTAAACCTGAGGGTAGGGACTTATTTTTCCCTTGGTATTTGAGATTATATGAAATTATGAAATCCCAAATCACCGTATTGTATTCTCCTTGATCATCCCTGTTCATTCCACTTTTTATTCAAGCCTCTTTAGCCATCAGTTCTCCCTTCCCTCCTTCTTCCCCACTCTCCTTCCCTTTCTCTCTGCCTTTCTCCCTTTTCCACCTTTCCTTGCATTTGCAGCCTGTCCATCACCTACTTGGAAGGCCTGGCCCAGGCTGTAAAAAGAGACATGAAGGCCTTGAGATCCAAACACAAATCTATGCTCCCGCTGGCCCAGGAGATGAGGAAGAGGAGCCATTTAGTGCCTACCATAACTCTTCCCTGCCCTAGCACATCGCTTCTGCCTCACTGCACACCTTTCCTTCATTCTGCTCCTTTGTCTGTTCTAAACTCAGCCCCTCTGTCTATAAATTGCTTTCCTCTTCTTTCCCTCTCAGCCTGATTAGCTAAATCACTTGTCTCCAGCAATTTCCAGCCAGACGTTTCCTCTCCCTTCCCTGCACTTACCCCGGCAGCCCTCCAGCTTCACAACTGTGAGGCAACATTACAGTCTCTGCTTCATCTTCATACACTGTCCTTTCCATGCTCCTGGCTGTGGCTTCTTTCCTTATAAGAATGCCAGTCATATTGAACAAGAGCCTACTCTGGTAACTTTCTCATGATTGTATCTGCAAAGGCCCTAATTTCTAGATGAGCCCATATTCATAGGTACAAACAGAAGTGGGCCTAGCTACAGAAAGTTCTTTTCCTAAACAAACTGCTCAATTAATTCTTTGGTGCTCAGGAGGTAAAGACATCATCAAATCAAGTTACCAGTTGATGAGTGACTGTGGCAGTCCTCATGGTGAATTTCTTTCTTCTTATTCACAAGTATTTTGTATTTAAAAAGAAAATGAGTTCTAATGACTTCAGTATTTCTGAAACTTGCAGCCCATTCAAATCCTGCAGAACTGGTGGAATTTTTTGATGAACAAATAAGAAGTAACAATGAAGTGGTTCGAATGAAAATCTTGACATTGTTGAGATCAGCAGTCAATGCCGAGGGTAAGCTACGGAAACAGCCAGAGGGGTTTATTTCATATCGATAAGTGAGCTAAGACATGTGCATGTGTAATGCTATCCTACACCTGTGTAATCTCACACACGTGTGAAAATGTTTCCTTAGCCTTCTCCAATCTGTTCCTTTTACACAGGCATTTTCAGTTACCTCTCTTCTTTCATGATATTTATGAATACATTGTAAGAATAGAATTTTTATGAATCAAATTGAAAAGATCCATTATGTTGCAAAGTGGCCTATAAGAATCAGAGGAAGGGGAGAGAAGTGTAGAATTCATTAGAGACTGGTACATTGAGGAAAGAGCAGAATGTATTGAATCACCATATTTTATTTAGTCCAAGAAGCATCTATTTCATAATATTGAATGATTTTTCCAATTGATGGCATCTTCAATTATCACTGACCATGAATGGTGCATCATTAAGTTGATACCTTGGATCTAATAAAATATGAGGATTAATGTTTACAGCATGATATATTTTTAAATGCACAAATAGATACATAGTAGTATCACAAAATTAGAGCTGATGTATTAGACATTATGTTAACTCCACAATGGAATATAACATTTTGAATAAGAGCAAATAAATGCAATATGAGACAATAAACATCCTTGAGAAGCTGAGATACAAGATAGAAAAATTGATTATATAACATGGTACAGAAAAAAAATTGCAATTATATAAAAAATTCCAATCATTTTTCATCAACCTTAAAACATATCATACCCCTGCTGTAGCCAACCTCACAATGTCTTTGTGTTTCAGAGCCCAAGCTGAGAAATCACATCATTTCAATTGAAAAAATAGTCAAAGCTGTCATGAGTGACCTCAATCCAAAAGTAAGAACATTAACAAGAACTTATTTGGCTGATGGTAGGTTTAGGAATCAATGAAATAATTCCGATTCTGCATGAATTTACCATGAGATTGCTTTGTAAGGGCTCGATGTTCAATTTCATTTTCAAGGAACTTGATACCAAAACAGATGAACTAGGGCTTCTCTGTAGAAAGAAGACTTTTACCTCAAACAGCAGTATTTTAATGCAGTTAAAATAGTTTAAAAATTAAGCTCTTGAAAAAGCCCTTTTAAAAAGAAAAGAAAAAGTGGCTTAGTGAGAAGGCCTTTGATTCAATCCCCAGTACTACAAAATAAAGGAGGAGGAAAAAAAAGAGGAGAGGAAGACATTGTTGTGTTGTTACTGTTGTTTTAATAAAGAGGCCAGCTGGCTTACCAGGCAAAGAGAGAGAAATTGTACAAGGTATGATTGAAAAATATGGTGAATAAATTTTAAAAATGACTACAGTAAAAGACCATAGGGATTAATTTCCATCTGTCCCAGTCTTTGAACGCCCTTATCCCATCATTCTTGCTACTTTTGGAGGACATTCTGAAAGTCCTCTCATGAGTGTCTTTAGTTGACTGTGGTGGCTATCTTGATAACCCAAGTCAATTCGCAATGTTTACTTTTCATGGTTGTTTTGACTTTGGGAAAGAATCAGAAGTCACACAATGCCAGGTCTGGGGAAGGAGGCTGGTGAGAGTACATCATCAAAACCATGCGTTTTTTACAAATCTATCTTTAAGGCAGTGGCACCAACATGCACTGCTTGTTTTGGTTTGGTTTTTTTAATCACACCTCATAATGACACTAAGCAGAACTTCCAGAACTACTTCAGAAAGTGCAACGAACAATGAGACCCAAGTCCTCACAGTGAGATGGGGGAAGTTTGAAGAGTATCAATGGTACCGTGTCTTTACTGTAATTTTTTCCATTTGAGCATTTGCCATATATTTTTTTCATCTCTCCTTTTACTTTTTTTTCTTAACTTAGGTAGACTACTCTGAGCCTTCAAGCTTTGGCCACCACAGAGCCATACTTCCTGTTCAGAATTTTTGCTTTTTACTCTCTAATAAAAGCTCTGCTCATTAAAGATTGAGACTTAGCCTTCTGTCCTCCAGGGAAGCAATCTAAAGAACAAATTGAAACCAAGCATTAAAAATATTATGGGTGCATACTGTGTCTCTCCTACTACTAGTCAGTTATATTTCAGAATTTATAATTTTCAGATTTTAGCATGATAATTCTGTGATAGTAGCTCAGTATCAACACCCAATGATATTTTTCGAAAAATAAAAATGCATACTCTACCTCACACAGAAGTAAAAACTACAAGCAGCTTTAAAATTTAGATAATTCAACTTCGGGTTGACCATTAAATGAGTTGATGCCAAATTTAAGAAAAAACATTCTAGTTTTTAGAGACTGGATTGCAAAATTGTTAATAAGTAACTGTGCATCTGAAGTTCAACCTTTATTGAGTATTTTTGAATGTGAAGCAGTGTTTTACCCAAATTACCAATACATTGCACTCTGTAGGAGAGAGGATATGTTTTAGGAGATGAGCAAAATGATTTTAGTTAAAAAGAGCATTTCCAGTGAGTGTGTAAGTCACTTCCTGCTCATCTACTTATTGTAACTTTATTCAATTTGTACTCCCACTTTTGAAAGCTTCATAAAGGTTATAAAATTGGAAAAGGTAAATTTCCATTCTGCAGCCTGAAAACTTGTGTTGCATTGCTTTTGTTGTAGGTAAGGATTGTCACCCTTCTTCTCATCCAAACCATGTGTGAAAAGTCCTACATCGAAGCACGGGAAGGATGGCCCTTGATTGACTACGTCTTCACCCAGTTTGCAGCATCCAGCAGGAAACTGGTATGAAGAGAGGCCACAGTTACCGTGTTGAGTGCTGCATTGCAACAAGTGCAGTTGACTCAACTGTGAGTTTTAAAAAACAACTGTGTTCAGACAGGCATGGTAACAGATGCCTGTAACCCCAGAACTCCGGGAGGCTGAGGCAGGAAGATTGCAGCCTGGGCAATTTAGCAACTATCATCACTCTATCTCAAAATGAAAATAAATTTAAAAGGGCTGAGGATGTAGCTCAGTGTGAAGGTCCTGGGTTCAATTCCCAGTACTGAAAAGCAAATGGTGGAAGATGGATGAGATGAGGGAAGAGGAGAGGAAGAGAAGGGAAAAAAGGAAGGGAAGGGAGGATGAGAAAGGAGAGAGGAGAGGGAGAGAGAGAGAGAGAGAGAGAGAGAGAGAGAGAGAGAGAGACAGACAGACAGACAGACAGACAGACAGACAGACAGAGGAGCTCAACTGATTTCAGAATTATATTTCAGTCAAATTATTTTTCACTGAAGATTTTTCTCAATCTCCAGTTCTCTTAGTTCCTTTTCACCCATATCATTTCTATCTTATAATAAGCACAAGATAGGTCAAATCACCATTTTTTCTGAAGATATAACCTGGCTTCCAAAGTCTTGGGGTAACCATACTGCAGACAAGGACAAAGACTGTGGATTTCTATACAGAGGCAAAGAGGCACCACACCCAGTTGCACAGGTGTCTGATCCATTTGGATTGCTAAAACAAAATGCCATAAAATGTATGGCTTATAATCATGTATGTATGTATTCCTAATAATTTAAAGGCTGGGAAGTCAGTGTCTAGAAGGGCATGCTCCGTTACAGTGTCTTCTTGTGCATTGTTACACAGTCAGTGGAGAGTTGGCTGATTCTATGAGGTTCCTTCCACAGGGCACCAATCCCACACAGAAGGACAGGCTCAGTCCTCATGCCCCAAACCCCTCCCAGAGGTTCCCATTTTTAATACCATTACCTGAAGGTTACAATTTCAACCTAAGAATTTGACGGAGATACTACAACTTCCTGCAGATGAAAACCACATACATAAGATCTCAACCACATTAGCGAGTTACTAAAACTAAAATTACAATCTATTCCATTAAGAATTTTAAGAAGAAATAATTTGAAAATTTTAGTTTTGCTGAAAATGGTAAAGGCCAGAAGGCAAGAGGAAAATGTAATTCAAAGATGCTCTCTACTTTTGCTTTTCTCTTTCATCTACTGGAATATTTTCCAAACCATCCTTCCAAGGTGTACTTTCTTTTCCTATTATTTTAAACAGGGAAAAACAATAAAAACAATGATACAAGATAGAAAATTAATCATGGTTAATTTGTATATTGTTTTCTTCAAAGTAGTTGATTAGATTAAGATATCAGTATGCAAAATTGATCAAACAATGTAAGCACAACTCATTCTTTTCAATCAATAGAAATTAGTAGCATACTTACCTTAGCTATGTGGTGTATATTTTTTCTTTTCCCTTTCTTCTTTTCTTCTTTCTCCCATCCCAGTTGTT